CACTACCTTCACCAGCGGACCTGTCTGCCCGACAAGAATGACGTGATCCATGCAAGAAAGGCCTCCGATCTAAAGAGCGATGTGCGTTTGCATAGAGATGTGGTAGTTACTACTGTTGCTGTTTAATATATTATAGCCTTATTTTGATGTTTCGATATTATACAGTCACAAAAGATTTATCTTTAGGCTGTTTTTTTCAGTTTTTCATGTTACTGCTATTATCCGCTCTTTTTATCCTTTAAAAGGTATTGGTATTACCTCTAAATTTTATAAAAGCTTTAGTTAGTATCTGCTATGTTACATATGCTTTTGGAGTATTGTGATTTGGAGAGGATGAAGGATTTGTCTCTCTTACTTTGATGTGACTTATGAAATAACATCTGTTTGCTACTTTGGAATCAGGTAGCTTTTATTACTCCTCTTTATCTGAGTCGACTTATTTAATTGCAAGAAAACTATGTAAGATAGCAGGTAAGATGTTTTAGTGGCTGATTTCGAAGCAGGAGGAGTCAGTGCAGCTTATTTCCTGACTTGGCTTTGCTGCTTATCAGTCACTCTTCCTCTGTTTCAATTGTCAGCTTTGGAGGTGACATTCATGCTCCTTGCTGAAGAATTTGCTCGATTAAAACTTAAATAATGTTGCCTGATACCACTTCAGGTGTTATGCCAGTTAGCTCTAGTCCCTATTACCTCTGTAACCTTTTTTTTTCCTCCTTTTTGTCAAATTTCCTGGTGGGCAGCTTGGTTTTTTGTTTGGACTTGTAAATTGTTGAAGTGACTAGAGGAATAAGTATTTTGGAGGGGACAGGAAGACTCTTTTAAGATCTTAATACTCATCATCGTTAACGGCAATTCTGTTCAGTTGTTTTCCCTCTATTTAACTGCATAAGGTTTAGAATGTATTGTTTAAGAAATGAACTACTTAAAACCTGGTTCCCAGATTGTATTTTACTTATGATACTGAACATCTCTTGTATATAAAAATGATTAATCTACTCTAGCTGATTTGACATTTTCTAAAACATGTACTGCTTTGTATAGTTTAAAATAATTAAGACAGTCATTTTAAACACAATGTTTTCCTTTTCTGACCATGTCTGATATAGGCTGTCTATAAGTCAGACCTAGAATGGCTCCGTGGAATTGGCTGGTTGCCTAATGACTCTCCGGATGTTAAGAGAGTGAAGCATGCCCAGGAACTCCTGAGTGATAATGTGTATCGTACACCTATTGAAAGCCTGAAATACACCAGTATTGTTGATTCTCCAGACGTTCTTCTAGCTAAAGTGCATGCCGAACAAGTCAGCATTGTACGTTACAATGTTCTTAAAGTTGTTTCAAGGCTATAAACAGTTAAAGAGAATTCTCACTGCTAAAATATAAAATTGATCAGTGGTATTTTAAGTCAAGTTTAATGCTTTTCCAGACATTTTATTTTTTAAATATGATAATTCAGGAGAGATTTATGGGATTATATGTTACTGACAAGTGTAATTCCATGATTACAATATCATAAAATGAACTATTTTAACAGCCAAAATACAAAGAAGCCTGGGAAAAGGACAAGACTATGATCCATATTACGCCAGACACACCTGAAATCAACCTAGCCAAGACTAATGCTGTTAATTATAGCCAGGTATGCTTATCATTCTATTTTCTACATTTCTATAAAATAGTATGTGTATCCTGTGAATTTTAACATTCTAAGATGTTGCTTACAAAGTTGAAGGTTAAGTCATATGAATCTCATTGAAGTCTGTCCTCATACAGAGCTTGCAACATTCCCTTCCCTCTGCTGAGTGTTCTTAAAATATTTAGACATTTTAAAATAAATGCTTGCATACAGCTTTTTAAAAATTAATATCGTGCACTGTTGAGATAATATTTTGTTGAAATGGATGAGAGCCCAAGGCATACAAATATTTTCTAAACTTTTACAGACACCCTTCTATGCAGTATAGGTTGCAAAACTGGTGTTGCAGGTACTGTACATGTTTGAAAGTCAGTAAGATTTGCAGCAGTATTTATGGCTAGGAGCAGGAGTAATGCACAAAAAATTCTCACAGTATTTTGGCAAACAAATACCAGTAAACTATGTGTTTCGTTAATGGCAAATGACAGAGTATTTAGCATACGTGTGACATTTTGCTGTCTTTTCAGAAACTGTATAAAGAAGCTTGGGATGAGTTGAAGATGAGTTGCGATTTGAGAGCAGATGCAATCCCAATCAAGGCAGCCAAAGCTTCTAGAGAAATTGCTAGTGATGTAAGTGCCGAAGGAGGTGTCTAGCTCTTCACATGTTTTAAGAGCTGTTTCGTGATAACTGTTAGTAATGGTGATCTTTGCTCTTTACCCAGTATAAATACAAACTGGATCACGAGAAGCAGAAAGGACATTATGTTGGAGTTCCAAATGCAAAAGCAGATTCAAAAATGCAGTTTGCCCTCGGCATAGGCAAAGTTCAGAGTGAACTAGAATACAAGAAACACTTTGCCAAATGGAAGACACAGTGCCATCTACCAGTAGACATGCTATCTATCCTATCAGCTAAACATGGTCAGTCTTTGGTCAGTGATGTTGATTACCGTCATTACTTGCATCAGTGGATCTGTCTTCCAGATCAGAATGATGTCATACAGGCTAGAAAAGCCTACGATCTTCAGAGTGATGTAAGTTAACATGAAAACTTAGCTTAACTTATTACTGTATTGTCTCTTCTTAGTCTGCTTCAGCTCTAAGTAGTGGGAATCTTCTGCTGAATTCAGTGAATTGGCTTTGCTGTTTATGAGGAATGCAAAGTATATGCCACTGTTATATATTGGCAAGTTTGAAGTGTGATAAGTTCAGATATAGTGCTCAGGTTGGAATTACTGCTCTCCTTTTAACCAGGGGAAGTAAGTGCCATTATTTATGAATCTTGCTGGATTGTACAGGGAACTGTAACTAACAGCACGGACCCTATTTTGTTTTCCCAGGCTATTTACAAATCTGATTTAGAATGGCTACGGGGAATTGGATGGTTGCCAAATGATTCAGTTGGGATCAACCACGTCAAATATGCTGGAGATCTCTTGAGTGAGGTAACAGAATGTTTTTCAATACTAAAATTTTCTTAAGGGTATTTGTAATTTAAAGTATTTTTAATGGTTAAATACATCAATATTTTTTTAAATAAAAAATACAACTGGAGTATTTCCACAGCATTCATTGTGTATGGAGAGTTTTTCTTTCCATGTAAACTTTCTTGTCTTGCCTATGTATTCAGAATTGCTGTGTTAGCTATAAAATATTCCAGTATAATCTGACTGTTCATCTTTTCTCTCGTATAGAAAAAGTACCGTACAAAAGCCGAAACTCTTCCATTTACTCCAGTGGCGGACAGAGTTGATTATATCACAGCAAAGAATAGTGGTGAAATTCTTAGTGATGTAAGTTTGCTAGCATGTTTCCGGGCTGTTAACTTGGTCTGTATATTTACATGGTAGGACTTTATCTTTAAAAGGGTATTTAGTTTATCTTTTAAAAAAATGCAAAAGAATTCTTGATCAGTCTCTGGGAATTCTGTGAATGTATGACATAAAGATGAACAGGACTTCACTAGCTCATCTCCATCACTTATGAGGGAAGAAGCTCAATAACAATTTCAGCAGAATAACATCTTTCCTAGACATGTGAAAAGCCAGTGCCAGTTCTGCAACTAGTCCCTTCTTTCAGTCTTGGCTGATATCATTGGTGATCATTGACAACATGAACATAAATAGCCACTTGCACTCTGGCAACCACAATGTTTAATCCTTCTCACTTAGCCAATATGAGTTATACTTTTTAGTTAACTACTGTGTAACAAGAAACGAGCAAAACTGGTGTGCTGTCAGCTTGCCATTCTTTATATGTTTTTGAAGGCTAGTCTGTGAGAAGCTGGTCTGTGAACATGAAATGACACAGCCCCCTCTCAGTTCATGAGTTTGTGTTTCTTTTTTACTGTATGCTTCTGTTAGAGAACAGGCCAAGCTAAACACTTACATTAACTCAAACACTGGTAAAAGGTTGGCAATAACAATGATACAGTTGAATTGAATGGCATACTGCCATGCAACCACATGCATGCATTTGGGCATGTCCTGTGCTTGGGAACATGACTCAGTGTAGATATCTGTGGCTGGGAGATGCTATAATGCTGCATGCACATAGAGATCACGCTGAGTAAAGAGATTTGCTCTTAAAAAGCTTAAAATCTATTGCCCTTGTTCAAACACTTCTTGCTTGGCTATTGGCTGTACATCCCTGTAGACCAAACAGGTAGCATAACTTCGACTTCTGAAGATTCTTCCCTGTCCATCCAGCTGCCTCGGAACAAGTTTTCAAAATTTCCTCTGAGAAATTTAGTAATTTCTTGTCTTGTATAATTTCCTTTTTAAAAAAATACCCATTTGGATGTATATTTAATGTATCATGTCTAATAGCCTTCCAAATTCAGGGTTTTATACATTATTTCATGCATAAAATATGGGTCTTGGTATTATGTTTTCCCAATTTTGTGACAGTGCTGCAAGGCAGTCATTTCTTTCTCTCTTCTAGGTTAAATACCACAAAGCATGGAATGAGGTCAAGTCAAATTATACTCTAACAGATACACCACAGCTAGATATGGCCCGAGAGGCAGCCAGAATTCTTAATCAGGTACGTGATCTCTCCTTGACAATTTCTATTCACATTAATAACTCCTTTGAGGAATTTAGAAAATTTGCCTTATTAAGAACATCCTAAAGGAAGGATTTGTTATCCTTATACTTTAATATAGGTTACATATATATGGTAATAATTATCATTATAGTAGTGTTGAATTCCTCCTCACTTTTATTTTCCACAGAATTTATACAAGGAAAGTTGGGAGAAAGAAAAAGCCACTGGTTACCTCTTACCTCCTGACACTGTGCAGATCTGTCATGCCAAACACTCAAATGATGTCCAAAGTGAGGTAATAATTTTTCTCATTAGGAAGGCAAGTGCTTGGAAGCCTGGAAATGTTAAAGGCCTTGCAAATTCAACAACAGATATAGAAAGCTTTCCATTAGGGGTAGCACCCAGTAGACTCTTCATGACCCGTGAAGTCCACTGTCCTCCAAACAATTCAGCCATCTTTGTTATTATGGGTTTTACAGATATCAGTGCTGAAAGGTCAGATTCTCCTTTCCACCTTCACTTTCTCCAGAAATAGTCCTTTCAAAATCAACTAAGGTGGACTTCCGTATTTTATAAATGTTAAATAATTGAAGTGATATTATAGTTGTAATATATAGCTCTGATTTCACTTTTTGGCATATTATGGAGGCTTCCTCCTTGAAAAACTGTAGGATGGTATGCACATTACATTTTAAACTTTTGCAAACGGATGGTTGAAATTATTACATGACTCTTAGTTTGAATGTACATTTTATCAAAACAATGTGATGTAAATACCTTAAATAAGCATCCACTCTTCAGACAGTCTCAAATAATTTGTTACAAAAATTTGTTACAAAACTGAGGCTAAATGCACTTATTAACAAACATCTTCTAACAAGGCTTTCCTCTTGTGTTGAAAATACTGTTTACTGAAAAATGGTACTATATTAGTCTAGAAAATGATATATTTTGAAGTGGAAGGACTATACAAAGTAACGTTACTGTTTGTGTCATATTTTTATCTTGTCGTGTACTGAAAACCTAAGACTGCAGTTGGCAACTCACTGCCTCATCTATTCTTTGTGTTGACAAAACCATAGCTGTTCACAGGTTAAAAACAGAGCAGATATAATCAGTGCTGATTTTATACTTCTTTTTCCCCTCTTCCATCAGCTTAAATACAAAGCTGACTACGTCAAACAAAGAGGTCACTATGTTGGAGTTGCCAGTATGAGAGATGATCCAAAACTGGTGTGGTTTGAGCACGCAGGCGAGATCCAGAATGACAGATTGTACAAATCAGACTATCACAAAACAAAGTCCAAAATTCACATCCCTCCGGATATGGTGTCAGTTGTAGCAGCAAAGGAATGTCAGACCTTGGTCAGTGATATTGACTACCGCCAATACTTGCATGAATGGATATGCCATCCTGACCAGAATGACTGTATTCAGGCAAGGAAGGCCTATGATCTGCAAAGTGATGTAAGTGATACTACATACATACTATGTCGTTTCCACTTAGTTTGGTCTAAGTATATTGTCCATATTACATAAGACTGAAAAATGTCATCCTGAATTAAATAATTTCTTTCCTTTTTTATTATCTTTTATGATTTAGAATATTTATAAATCTGATTTGGAATGGCTTCGTGGCTGTGGTTGGATTCCTCTGGATTCAGTGGAACATAAGAAAGTTAAGAATGCACAAGAACTGGTAAATAAGGTAAGAGAAAATATTTTAGCAGTTATGCGATTAGCTCTTCTTTCTCATGCACAGTGTTTAAGAAAATATTTCATCTCTTTGCAGAGAGCATACACGAAAGAAGCCCTTGATAACTTTTCCAATTATACCAGTGTGGTTGACACTCCCGACATTGTTTTGGCAAAGATTAACTCTGTCAATCAGAGTGATGTATGTACTTTTTTTTAAATAGAAACTGTTATTTTACTAGAATTAGTAGCTGACTTTTGCTTTTGCTAGCAAAAGTAGTTTAGCTTTTGCTAAACTATACTGTGTTTAGCCTTATGTATGTGTGTGTGTGCATATGCATGCTTCATTAATAATAGACTTTTACTGGGGTAAATAAGTTTAGTAAGAAGTGATATAAATGAACAACACAATATTGCTATCCAAAATAATTTTATATTTTTCTGTAGAAGAATATAGCATGTCCCTTATTTAGAGTTTACATAGGTTTTGCGTATAGTAGTTTAAAAATGAGTCCTGTTCTTGGTGAACAGCTGTTAGTTGTATAGTGCTAGTGGAGTTCTGGTGTTGCTACTAACCTGTATTTGCTGATCAGTATGTTTAATTTCACTAGAATACTCTGTGGATTTTGTGGTGTGACATACTGATGACATTTGCCTGTGTAGTATAGTGGTTGGAATGTACTACACAACATTACTGAAGATATAACAGAAAATTAATGTCTACTTCTAATAGATGGACTAGGTGGGATAATTTATTTCTCCTGTGGAATTAACATTGTGTTTGTTTTCTTTTGTAGCTAAAATACAAAGAAACATTTAACCTTGAGAAAGGCCAGTATATTGGGTCTGATGATACTCCTGCGCTGAACCATGCCAAAGACATGTCCTTACTATACAGTGATGTAAGATTTGATAAATATCTAACTAAGCTTTAATTTGTTTGTTTTGAAAGCAACAGAATGTGGAGTGGACTTCAGAAAACTGTTCTATTTCTGTTTCTGTCATTAGTCTATTGGGTAGCACTGGGGAAGTTACTTAATCTCTTTTTTCTTCAGTTTTTCCCAGTTTGGATCACTGGGATAAGGATAATTTCTTTCCTTACTGAACTGATCTTAAAGCACTGCTGTGTGGTGTTTGGAAGTAGTAATAGCAGTAGTAGTAGTAGCAGTAGCAGTGGTAGTAGTAGGCGTAGAGTTTGTGTGACAAAAACAATTTATAATTCCATCCAATAATATCTTCCTAGGCTACTGATGAAATTTACATTTATTTTTTTATAAGAGAGGAAGATTGTAGATGATACGTTATTAAGTGGTTACTTTAGAGTAGTCACACTAATTTTAATGGGAAATCTCTATTTTTTGAAAATGTAAGTGACTACTCATTCATATGAGTAGGCGCTTCATAACTTAGTCTGAAGGTAAATATATTTAATATTTAACAAAATATGAGGTATTGGAAAAGTGCCACTGACACAGTTAATGCTCTTATAATAAACAATAGTATTACTTGAAGATTTTTCACAATTTTTAACATGTATCTATAAAATTATCCATGTCAATTCTATACTGCACTTCTAAACAAGAGTTCATATCTACATTTTGGATATTTTTATTACTCTTCTGGATGAGAAATGTTGAATTCCAAATATAGTAAAGCAAGCAGCGATCAGCCCAAAATTGTGCTCAGGTACCTTCCTGAATTGGAACACGTATTCTGTTTGCCTTACTTACACTGAATAAGTGTTCAAAATGAACATTCTTCATTGACTTTATTGGGACAATTCATGGAATAAGGAGCTACTCTATAAAAGTAGTCATATTCCATGTGTGTGTAAATGGCAGAGTCAGGTTTCTTGGAAAGTATAATGGATTTTTTATGAAAACCTTTATGTGTTTTGTTTGTCTAGAAACTTTATAAAAATGCTTGGGAAATTAGCAAGCCCATTGGGTATACTTTGGATGAGAAATATATTCCACTTGTGGGAGCGAAGCATGCAAACTACATAAACAGTGAGGTTAGTATGAATTTTCCATTCTTTCTCTTTTTTTCCCTACATGTTGTTAGAATGAACTTTAAAATTTTCACATTAATATTTTGCAGCTTAAATATAAGGAAATATATGAGAAGCTGAAAGGCCATTACCTGGCTGGGAAGGAGATTGGTGATTTCCCCAGCGTCATTCATTCGCTAGCATTCCAGAAAATAAGGAGTGCGGTAAGGAGAGAATTAGTCTTGCTGTAGTATTTTCCATTTTCTTTATTTTAGTGTGACATATTTAAACATAAATAATACAATGCTTAATAACATCAGTAAAAGTGTTTTCAACATGTTTATGTTTCCTGAATGATTATTTTTTATGTGGGTTGAATAATTGAACTTGCAATGACTTAGGAGATTAAGAAGGGATTTGTTTAGCTAGTAGACATATTAGAATAGGGGAAAAAAACTTTTCTATTTCAGTTTAAGACTCTGAGCAGTAAGAAATACTATGTGACTTGGGATTCTTTTGCTTTACAAAAAAAAGTGTTAATTTTGAATTGAAATAGGAATTTAAGAACTGGAAAAGTAAATGCACATTTGGTGTTTTGTTATTATCACCACTGCACATATAGCATGTCATGCAGGGCATAAAGTTAGTATAATCCCAAATATTCTGTCTTCATTCAGACAGGGAGATTTAACTAGATTAAAAACATGTTTGTAGCATATGACTTTTTTTATCTTGAAGTCCTGTTAATTTTTGCACCTGTTAAATCTGCAAGTGAAGGAGGTCATTCTTGTCCTTCTAGAACCTCATCAGAATAAATGGTGATTAATATAGAAGTTAAGATTTCATCCCATTGAATCCCATGGGAGGTTAGCTACTAAGTCCAGAAAGCATGCCTCAGATTATGCTATAACCTCTGTAGCCTGTTAGAGTCAAAATTACGCAAACACCATTCTCTCTTCTCGCCTTTTCCCCAATCTGTCCTTTTTAGTTGGCATACAGAAAGAGTTATGAAGACACCAAAGCAAATGTCCATATTCCAAGTGACATGATGAATCATGTGCTAGCCAAGAAGTGCCAGTATATCCTCAGTGACCTTGAATACCGAACTTACCTCCATCAGTGGAATTGTTCACCTGAAGAAAATGATGTTATTCAAGCCAAAAAAGCCCAGGAAATTTTGAGTGATGTATGTGTTTCATTTATTTGTTTGACATTTTAGTAGCCCTTCATGTATTTTTTTCCAAGGTATTTAAATATAAAATACTTTCAAATATCTTCCATAGTATTTAAATATGAAATTAGTAACCATGGTCTTAGATTGCTTAGTAGCATAGTACCGAAAATTACATTTTTACAGTTTTCTTTGGGACATTTTAATGGTCTGGTTATTTATTATTAATTTGTGAATTGGAAAAATTTTAATTTAACATTTATGAAACCTTCCCAAAGGTCACTGCTATCAACACTTAATCTCTCTTTGACTGGATGAGACTGTATAGAAAGCTTACCATCTGGCACATGCAGAGGAGAGATGTGGATGTACCATGGTACAGTCAGAATGTTGCTGCACTGCAGTGATCGTTATATATTGTAATAGGGAATGCTGTAATTTGCACAGGGGCCAGGACAGCATCCACAATCCTCCTGGATCTAATGGGTCTGGAAAAGACTTCTCTTCATTCATTTAGAGTTGTTTCAGTCCACAGAGTCTGAGCTGAGTGAATGGCACACTGAACCATGACACTTTTTCATATTACATAGTCAACAGTCTCTCAGCTTGGGCCAACCAACCTTCCTAATAAAATTTGATGATGTGTTCATTGCCTGGCCTATTACTATGCTGTCTTATTTGGTTTAGTTTCCCTTGCAAATTCTGTGGGTAAAAATCATTCAGTCAAACTGTGAGATGGGCTAGTCTTCTCCGTGCTTACATTCAAACTTCCAAATAGATTGGAATTACTGAATGAGCCTGGTTCAGATTCAGTGGTAACCTTCTGCATTGAGTTTGCACAAGTGGAAGGTACTGACTATAGAGAGGAAACAAATACTACTTACTTCAAGCAGAAGGCAAATTTCTTCCTAACTTAATAGTCTGTCTTCTTCCATATAGGTGGTGTATAAAGATGACTTAAATTGGCTTAAGGGACTTGGATGTTATGTCTGGGATACTCCACAAATCCTGCATGCTAAAAAATCGTATGACCTCCAGAGCCAAGTAAGCATGTTTTCCTCAAATAAGTAAATATTTATAAGATTTTTTTCTTCCATTTATGATTCACTGGGACTGACATCTGTCCTAGTCCAGAGCAGAATGAAGCAATTCCTATTACATCAGAAATATTTTGTTCAAAATATTATAATACACTCTTTCAGTTTCGTCTGTAGAGACCTGATCACTTTTGTTACTGAAGGAGCAGAAAACTTAGGAGAATGGAAGAACAGCGAGGTTGTGGTTTTTAACAGTGAGAAGATAACACTTTGTCTTTCTGTATGCCACCCTGTGCACAAAATATCTCAGTGAGACATTTATGTTGGGAAAATAGTGTGTCTTGCCTTGCTGATTGTACTCTTAGCCTACTAGATGCTATTCAGTGATGTGCAATTTTCATTATTCCTTAGTTCATACTGGCTATATATTAAGTATTTCTTTTCTGTGGCCTGTCACTTTTAAAGTTGGTCTTAACTGGGCCGTAATCCTGGTATTCAGTTGTCCACAACTGATTTTAAAGGAAGCTGGCAGGGAATTTCCTGGTTATTTTCAGCATTAATGTTTTTTTGTTTTGTTTTGTTTTGTTTCCTTAGATAAAATATACAGCAGCAGGAAAAGAGAACTTTCAGAACTTTGGTGTTGTTACTGACACACCTCTCTATGTGACTGCAGTGCAGAGTGGTGTAAATGCTAGTGATGTGAGTCTCCCCATTTTTTCTACTCGGGCTTTTCCCTGCGCTCCTTCTGAGAATTGAAACAAGTTAACTAAATCTGTCTTTCATCTTACAGGTGAAATACAAGCTAGATTACCACAAAACTAAGGACAAGTATACAACTGTGACTGAAACAGTGGATTCTGAAAGAGTTCAAAATTTGAAACATCTCTTTAGCAATGTAAGTGTTTCTGCACATTTTTTTTCTCTTAAGGTGCTACTATGTGGGTTTTTTGTTTTATTTTGTTTGTTCACTCTGTTTGAAGATAAATGTCCAAACATGGAGCTTATCAAAGCCAGTGATAGCCCTCTGCATTGCTTGGGTATGGGGAAGATGCTGTATTTCAGGCAGAGGGTATATTTTCTACCTGTAGTTCTAGTCTTGTCAAAATACATGCATTAATAAATGGATTCCCTGAAGAAAATTGCACCTGAACAAAATTAAGAGCTTGTATGAGAATGGACATGAATAGTTAGAAAGCTTTTTTCTCACCCTTTAAGTGCACTGTCAAGATTAAACAAGTGTACAGCCTCTTGATATTAAGTAATAGTTACGGCGTATAAATAAAAACAGAAGGGCTTTTGATTTCTATTGGTCATTGGTTATTACCCAGGAGAAGAATTTTTCCACTCACAGAGACTTTCTATTTCCCCATAGAATATCTACAAGAAAGCCTGGGAAAAAGTGAAAGCTACTGGCTATATGATGCCCTCTGATGCTGTATCCCTAGCACGTGCAAAAGAACTGAAGCATAATGCTAGTACTGTAAGTGAATAAAATACTTTCTTTTTTTTAATCAGATCATCAATTCTAGCAATGAAATCCTTCATGCCTTGCATATACTATAGGTATAAAAAAGGGGTTTTTTTAAATTATCTTCTATT